CGGGGCGCGTTCAGGATTCTACATTATCTTGTCTTCTCCTTTTATTTGTGCAAATAATATCACAGGCTTCACTATCACTTTCTATTTTACAGCCTGGAGTCAATACTGATAACTTTACACGGTGAAGTGCAAGTAGAAACTGTGTCTTGGTAAAGAATTTCATTAACAGTTGACGTGCCACGCACGTCATTTTTCTTTCTGCAACAATTACCTGACGACGTGTGTAACACGTCGCTGGCGTTCCGGTAACAGTAGCATCTCGACGTGCGTGGCACGTCTTTTCACTGCAAGTGGTTAAATATAAGATGTAAAATAGCAAAAGTAAAGAGTTTTGCTATTTAATAATTATTTGTTAATATGCTCCAATTTAAAAACTATTACTATTTACAAAATTTGTGAAAATTGGGCGACTTAACTAAGTACATATATAACACTTTTTATTAAAATAAATTTTGAAGAACTATTTCATAGCATATTTATTTTTTTGATGTTAAAAAAAATACTGCTGAAATAAAAAATTAATAAGTTTTACCTCCTATCGTATAAGATATGTAAAAAAAAAAGTGAAAGTAAAAACTTATATGTATATTTCAAGGTCATTTTGGTATAGTGCATTCGCACACAATAATCTTACTCCTATAATGCCACAATATCGAGTGATAAATAAATTCCAAACATCAATTTCAATCAATTCTCGGATATCTTTTGCAAATGGTAGCCTAAAAAGATATCGTGATAAAGATAACAAACAGTAATTCATTAGTCATGGGTTTGAAACATTGTAAAGAATTTTCATCTACAGATGACTATGAGAGAGAACGATATAAATCTACGGAAAAAGGTATAGTAATACATATTTAAATTATTTTATTCATATATTTTAACAGATAGGTATAATATTAGCAAATTTATCATTTCGCATAAGTTATACGTAATTTCGATCATTTTAAAATAATAATTTATATATATATGCTCATAATAGATATTTGTAAATGATCTGAATCATTTAATTATTTGTTTCTTTTTATTTATTCCTTTAAAGTCCATTTAAAAATAATATTTTTAATCTTGCTTCTCAATGGTATATCAAAATAACTAATTAATTAGTACATGATCAGAAGAATATCTATTTTAGACATTCCACTGTAGACTCTACAGGTTCGTTCAATTCTGTAATCTACAAATGAAATAAATATTCTTAATCATATAAACTATCTTGTCGGTTTAACCATAATAGTAGTTAGTCATAACATTTTTATATATATGCTTGATATTAATTAAAATTTATTGAAAAATCCTTGTTTTTTTTTTTTATTCTATATGTAGTTTGTAAAATACATATAAGAATTCCAATTACTTGTTGCTAGTGATTAAAAATATCAAGATTATCTTATACACGATATGGTATGATTGCTCTTATATCTGCGTTATTCTACAAAAAGAAGAAAAAAAGAAACGGTTGAGTGAGTCTTTAAATTTACAATGAGTTCCAGAATTATTCTTCCTCTATATCATATGCGTAATTTATTAAAACATCTGCGGTAATTAATGATTATACAAATTCAATAATTAGATTATTGTACGATTTCTCTCATATTTTGTATGAATTTTTCTGCCAAGAAAGTGGAGATTTGTTTGCGTTTAAAATTGACATTTTGTCATCAGGCGAATTGAACAGATGTCCTTATTCATTAAATCGAGATAAGTTGTAGATAATAATGGTCGGTATGTTGTTAATTAAATAAATTTTCTTTTTTTTTTTAAATTATATTCATTTTAATTTTATCCAAATATATGACAAGAATTAATAACCTAATACATAGTTAATATAATTTTTATTTATTATTCTATCAGTTTTTCTTTTTAATTAATCTATAGTTGACGAAGTCTTATCGACGCATGCGGAATGAAAATTTCATCTCTCTATGGGACTTTCTTAGTACTAATAGTAACAATAATTTCAACAGTCAACTGTTTTAAGTAAATGTAGTCTAATTTTGGTCAGATTACGTTTTTTAATATATGAAGTAGAATAATCCTTTGATATCGTATAATACATAATAATATAATTAATTATTTCTAATTTATAAATCGATGGATTTTTTTCTTTGATTCCTAATATTTTCGAGCTTTTTGTGTACATTTTATGAATATAAATATTCCTTTATTTTATTGAAGTTACTTAACAAATTCCGAGTTTGTAATGTCAACAAATGGGGATAATAAGAGAAAAATTCATATCTGTAATCTATGCAATAAAAAACAAGATATTAGTAAAACACATAATAGAGGATCATGCTGTTGTTCTTGTAAGTTTGTTACAATATAATTTCTAATATACATTAAATGATAATATAGATTTTAAAACTCTTATACTCTCGACTTTTTATATTTTCATATGCTATATATTTCTTTTGTATATATATAAAATTAAAGTTCTTTTCATTTTTAGGTATACCAGAAAAATATGATTATATAGAAGATGTAGTATGTAAAGAAAATGATATTAGTGAAAATGAAATGAAAGTGGTAACTCTTGGAAAAAATGATGCTAAAGTTTTACTAGTAAAACAAAAAGGAGAAATACATGCACTTGGAACAAAATGTACCCATTATGGAGCTCCATTGCATACAGGTGCATTAAGAGACGGAATAGTAAGATGTCCATGGCATGGAGCATGCTTCAATATCAAAACAGGTGATATAGAAGATTATCCAGGATTAGATTCTTTACCTTGTTATAAGGTGAGTATAAAATTTTAAAATATCTTTTAAGAAATATTCTATTAAAAAATCGAAAATTTAATGTAATTTCTTTTCATATAAATAAATTATTTATATTACATACTGGTAATAAAAATGAATATCATATATAAAAAATATATATAGGTAACTGTAGATGAAGCAGGACTTGTACATGTCAAGGCAAAAGTTAAAGATTTAGAAATTAATAAACGAGTTAAAGATATGTGTGAATATGATGTTAAAAATTCAAAAACAACTTTAATTATTGGTGGAGGTCCTGCAGCTGCAACATGTGCTGAAAGCTTACGTCAAGAAGGTTTTACAGGAAAAATTATTTTAATCAGTAAAGAAAAAGTATTACCTTATGATAGAGTGAAAGTATCTAAAGTAATGAATTTTGATGTGAACAAATTTTCTTTAAGACAACCAAGTTTTTACAATGATCACAAAATTGAAACAAAACTAGGCCGAGAAGCTATAGGTGAAAACAATATATATGTTATAATAATTTATATTAATATAAATTATTAATAATAATCAAATTATATATATATTTTTTATTATTTATATGCTTTCTATTATTGCAGGTCTGGATACAAATCAAAATATTATTACGCTTGACAATTCTGAAACACTAAAATATGATTACTTATTCCTTTGCACTGGCTGCAAAGCAAGAGTACCTGATTTATCAGGAGTGAATTTAGAAAATATTTTCATATTACGCAATTATACTGATTCACATGCTGTACAACAAGTATTACATCCTAATAAACATTTGGTTATATATGGGGTAGGTTTTATTGGTATGGAAGCAGCTTCTTATTGCATAGATAAGTGTGCATCTGTCACCATCGTAGGACGAGATAAAGTACCTTTAGATACAATTTTTGGTACAGAGATTGGTAATAGAATTAGAGAGGAATTTGAAACAAAAGGTATTTCAGTAAAGATTTTTACAATTTTATAAATTGAAATATTTGGTTTGTCTCTATAACAATACAACTATTCTTTTCTTTTTGAGGTATTAAATTTATATTTAATAATACTATATCAAAGTTTCTTCCTAAAGAAGGCAATGATAATATATTAGGCAAAATTGAACTGTCTAATGGTAATATTCTTGAAGCAGATATATGTATTATTGGAATAGGTACAACATTTTATACAGATTGGTTAAAAGAATCAAAAATTAAGATGTTGGATAATGGTGGTATTATCGTAGATAAGGTATTACTTCTATATTGAATATTATTCTTTATTGTTTTATTTATGTTCGTTTTACCAGTAAGATAATTCTTTAATAATTTCTTTTATTAATTATAGTATTTGAAAACAAATATAGAAAATGTATATGCTGGTGGTGACATAGCTTATGCTCCAGTATTAGGTTCTGATCATATTTCAGCTACTATTGGCCATTATGGCTTAGCTCATTATCATGGTAAAATAGCAGCTTTAAATATTTGCAACAAAGAAACAGTTTTATACAGCGTCCCATTCTTTTGGACTACTTTATTCGGAAAGAGTTATAGATATGCAGGTAAACATCCTATTTTTTTAGAACTAAAAATTATAATCATTAAAAATGTATATATATAAATATATATAATATTATATATTTTAATAAGTCAAGAATTTAAATATTTGTAGGATACGGCAAATCAGATAAAGTGATCATTTATGGTTCTTTAGAAAACTTGCAATATTTTGCTTATTATATAAAAGATGGTAAAATAATAGCAATGAGTAGTGTTGGAGCAGATCCAGTTGTAGCAGATTTTGCAAATTTGTTGGCAGAGAAACAAATCTTAATGGAGGATGATATTAAAAACAATCCTTTTGGGTGGATGTGTAATAAAACTAAAGATGTAATAAATAAATTCCAACTATTACATGTTTAATAGAAGTAGTTCTCTTTTTTGTATATCTTTTATCTTATATCTTTGTTTCTCAAAATTAATATATTGTATTTAAAAAAATGTAAAAAGATTATGTAAAATGTAAAAAGATAAAAATATATATATATATAAATATAAATATATACCTTCACCACAATAATGAATTTTTATATTATGATTTTTTTTTCTTTTACTAATAATTTTACAAAACAATTGCAAATTATTGCATAATTTTATTAATATACTCATTTAAGTTCTTTGTATTAATATACTTAGAGATGTATTTTTGGTTTGTTGGTAATAGCAGTTGGTATATAAAAATATTTAATGTTCTAAGGACCTTGAACCATCTTAATGACAAACTTGAAATTATATTGTTGTTACCCGATATCTAACCTAACGTATTTTGAAAAAGCATACCGGCTTGTTTTTGTATAGTGTATGGTATTTATTGCCACAGTGATCGTTGTTACGGCTTGTTTATTTACAGTATGAAGAAATTATACTGAATTTGAAGGAGAAATACCTGAAAAGAGAATAGAATTTTCTTCTATTAGTAAAACTTTACGAGAGTGCAATAAATATACGATTCCAAGTAAAAAATTAACGATGTCTACATTTAAGGTAATTAATAACAAAAATATATCACTAAACATTAATTTATTTTTATGTTACATTACTATACATGTGTTTTTACACTTTACTTCTTACACTTCTAACGAAATAATATCAATGAGTCTGAGCAAAGATAATGTATAGATTACAAAATTAATTGCTCATTATTATTAACTTTTCACTTTTAAATGTATTATCTTAGCCAAGTGATTCTAAAAAAGAGGAATTCCGAAAATATTTGGAAAGAGCAGGCGTTATGGATGCCCTTACTAAAGTACTTGTATCGCTGTATGAGGAAACAGAAAAACCAAATGATGCGTTAGAGTATCCTTTATTTTATTAGTATAATATAAAGTGGGGATTTTAAAATACAATGTTTAAAAAGAAAAATAAAACTTATCCTTAATAAAAGTTTATAGGTATATACGTAAGAATCTTGGAGACATAACCGAAAACAGTCTAGAAATTAATACATTAAAGAAGGAATTAGACGATGCTAGAGCAAAGATTACTGAATTAAGAGAAAAACTAGTTAAATATGAACTAGACGAAGCAAATGATTAAATGCAGATTTTCTCACATTTCTATTAATAAAATAATAATGGAAACTGAATATTAACTAAGCACTGACAGAATTACACTAATTATATCTTTGTATATGTATTTTCAATATTTTTAAAATTTAAATGTATAAAAAATATAAAAATTTGAAAATAATTTTCTCAAATCATCTAACTATAAAAATGATTTCATTTTTTAAATTGTTTCACGATTTAATTAAATCTAAATCTATGATAATTGTACTTTACATTTTACACATACTATCATATAATAGCATTTAATTATCAAAATTAATAGCTATGATGCCAATAATTCAGATTTAAATTTAAATAAATATTTTCCATACCAAAAATTATATAGTACTAGTAGTATTTCCTCCAGTATTATATTCTCACATGTATTCTTTTACATGTATGATCTCACATGTATTCTTTTATATTTACATCCATTAGCAAAATATTATTACAATAATAATATTTATTCAATAATCATCATACATATGTTTAATTTTGCCTGTTTATATTTTCATAAATAAATAACTATTATAAAAATAGCTTCACACAATATTACCTTTAAATTTTTAGCTTATTGTACCATGAAAATAAAAACTGGTTTATATTTTTTGTAATTCATGTATTTTATTGATGATATAAACTCATTTAAAATATAAGCAGATATTAGAAGTAAAATTTGTAGATTCCTTTAGAAGTTGTGTACAAGAGTAATGAATTGAAAATAATTTCATGGAATCTTAAGTGCTTGTCTACGCTTAACATCCCAGTTATAAATCCTTGTCATATTTACGTGCATAGTGGTAAATTGATCTCTGACAAAATCTAAGTCATGTTCCACGTATCCTAAATTTTTCTTAGCTGCTTCAATATTTTTAGTCAACATTTCTTGAGCATCATCAAGCGTATATTCCAACATAACATTTGCTCCGAGCCAAAGGCAAACTTTACCTGTAGGTGGAATAGTAGCTTTTGCAAAAACTTGTTCAGATAAAAGAAATTGAGTTTCTAAATCATGACTATTATTTTTCTCAATCTGTAATTTTTCGATCATTTCTAATGATCTTTCTAGATCTGGTATCTGTGCTTTTAATCGTCTTCTTTTATTAATCAAATTATATTCCATGAATTTATATTTCATATGATTTTCATCTAGTTTTTGGAGAACTTTATTCACGGATTCGTTCTCTGGTTTTGCCATAAATGCATCTACATCTTCCTAAAGGTCAAAAAGGATTGACTTTTACAATTGTTTCTTAAATATATTTTGATAATAGTACAAATTAAAAGAATTATACGTATATATTATTCGAAGTAATATTATTTAATGTTATATAAATCGTTTCTTTCAATTAAGAATTATTCGGAAGTTTAGTCGGGCAGAAACCATACAAATTTATATTTAAATTAATATGAATGTAAAAGTAAATCTACGAGAGATGATTAATATAATAAATATACTTACTACAAAGTCTGCTTCTGGAATACCAGCATAAGATTTTTTTTGTGATTCAATCTCAATATCTAATTTATTCTTACTCTCCTCCATGTTTACTTGGTTATGTGACTATGAAATAGAATTATATCGAACATTCAGAATCGATATGTTTCCTTTTTTTATAGAACGTCAAATACACAATCGAAACTTTTTTATCGATATATCGATGTTTTCAATTCAGAATTAAAGAATTAACATTACTTAGCTTTATACATTAGACAATATATTTTGATAATCTAAGATAAAAAAGATATAAAATAAGATATATTTTATTTATTTATTGTCTTTATTAACCTTAAATAAAACTTTTTATTCTCATATATGGAATATGAACAAGTTGCAAGGATATCATGTTTTTATAAAAATAAATGCATAATAGGATACAAAACTCTCTTTTGTGAAGAACTTGGATATTTATTACATTAATAAATTTACTATCATATTTTCAATTTCGAAAATATATATATATAATATTTATGAATATACATATAATACATATAATACACACACATACATATATACATACATATATATATGTATGAAATATATATATATATTATGAATAGTCACTAGTATATGAATATTGAATTTTTAATAATCATTAACTTCTGCTTATAATTTAGGTTTTACATCTTATATTACGAATTTGAAACAATTATAATAATAAATAATAAATAATAAATTTCAGAAGTTATTAAATGTAATAAAAAAATTAATTTCTTATAATTGTTGAAATTAATAATATAATCAGTACACAGATAGTTAAAAAAAATTGTACAGATTTTAATATTTTTTTTCACTGATTTGTTTTACTCTGGTCAATTATATAGTTTAAATAGCGCTTGTTTTGTATTTAATAATTATATTCGAAATTTTATTAATTTTAAGAAGAATCAAAAGTATTAAATATAATATTAATTTTTTCTTTTAAAGTAGAGTCAACATTTTTGTAATCAAGGACACTCTTCAACGCTGTTATTAATCCTGTAGTATTGTTTAGATGCTGTTTAATAACATCTGTAAAAAATGTCATGATATATTTTTATAAAATGTAAAAGGGAAGAGAGTTATATTAGATAAAAAATTACATATCATACCTGACTTAATTATGCTATCTATAAAAGATAACATATTATAAATAATGGGTAATTCTAAATTAGAAGCATTTTCTTGAAAAAATCTGCATATGACATGACCAATGTTATTTTCAATAAGAGCATTTTTAAATTGTATTGGACAGATAGTAGCTAAATATGTTAAACTTAAAATGGCTTCATTTTGCATTAAAGCGTGTTCTGCTAATATCATTTTTACTAGATATTGAGTACCACCATATTTTATAATTACTAGAGCAACACTTTTATCTCTAGAAAGAAAAAATAACATTATATTTATAGAAAACATTATTATTTTAAAATATATGAAATATAATTAAAAGTATGTTACTTACCTGCTATTATTAATTAGCCATGCAAGTAAACGATTTGCTTCACCTTGTACTCCTGGGTGATCGTCTATACCACACCATACCACAGCTCTTTTAATAAGATCTTCTTTTTTCCCTAAAGATACAGCAGCTTCCTCTATGTACAGAGTTTAAAAAAGTACAGCATAATGGCAATCAATTTATGCCACAAAACAATTTCACATGCTTTCAAATCAAAACATTTTCAACATACTTTGTCCATCGATTACAATTCTCAGAGTTCCCAATAATTTGAATACTATTGGAAAAGTTGGTATATCCAACATAGGATAGAGAATGTCAATTAAACCATCCTTTAATATAATAGATTTATTATCAACAGGAATAACAAGATTATGAAGAGCACTCAGTAAGGCATGCTGAAATCTGATATCACTATTTTTGCTATCATTTTTCTGAATTAATTGTAATAACTTCTTATGGATATCCTGTTCTACCATCAGCTTACAATGAGTATGTGTTCGTGCAAAATTTCCCATAGCTAATACAGCTGTTATTTGAAAATCTTCGTCATTGCTATCTAACCATTTGACAAAATTATTGTAAACTGTGCCTTTACCATTATTATATAATATATTCATACTATTATCTGAAAAATAGTAGTATTTTTGATTATTTATTCCATCAACAAATAATTATAATTGATACTTACCTCCAGTTAGGATCAAAACAATTAAATTACATGCAACCTTTAGAACAGATCTTGTCTCTTCACTTGTACATTGTGGTCCATAAGTTTCTATAAGCTTTAAAAGTAATTCAGGAATGTTTGCCTTTGTAAGTAACAGTTTAACTTCCTCTGCGATAAAATTATAAATACATAATAGCAAAATTATGAAGTAAATTTGAATAATTCATGTTATCAGATATATATTTGTTTGGCTAAATAATAAATTATTTTACCATCATCAGCTTGATCATAAAGAAGTTCTAAACACATTTCAGAGATTTCCAGAGATGTACTATTACTTAATATGTTTACTACAGCTTTAGTTAATTTTTCATCCAAAAATGTCACATTGGCATCATTTAATACACCTAATGTCAATAAAATATGTGTGACTGTTTCTTCTGCAGTAGCACCATCGATTTCTAGTATGTCACAAAGAACTTGAATAATGTTCTCCTCCAATGCCTGTGAAAATTTATTTGTAGATTAATTTTGAATTAAGAATATTATATGAAACTTAGTTTTACTGTAACATTTAAAATGTTGTTTAACCTGTTGTTGCAAGGACTCTTGATCCACAAGAAAATTCAATAGTAATCCACTTGTCACCCTTCTTAATATATTGGCATTTTCTATATCTTTCAAATCTGTAGCTCTTTTTAACATTTGTAAAATATATTTTAAACCATCTTTTTTTTTAATCATAATTTTTCCATTTTCTGAAATGATTATGACATCGTAATATTATTTTCATATACAATTTTATAAACAAATCCCATACAAATATTATTTTGTAAACAAATAATAAATAGTTTTTCATTACTATTTTCATAACATATATTCCCAAGTGCTCTGGAAGCCTGTATCAATATACCGATATTGTCTTCTTTCAATAATTCTATTAATGTTTCTACTATGTCTGTATTTGTACATTGTTTCCTTCCCTTCTCAGTTTTAGTCATTTCTGCAATAGCTTTTGCTGTTTGTGCGATAATGTCTTTAGATTTATCCCTTAACAGCATCAAAATAGTGTCATTAGGCAGGAGGTCTATTGTTTCTGAAAGCAATATTTAATATTTGCATATCTTTTTTAAAAAAGATTATCTTACTTTATAAAATGTAAGACCTTGAATTGAATTTTCCTTAATTAAGGAATCCAATATTTGGATGACATCAGTATTTCTGCTTCCTTCGACTTCATTTCTAATTTTGATAACATTTCTCAGATCAGCAACAAGTGTAACAATGTTATATTGACTGTTTCCTACAATCAAATATTTCCTATATTTATTATACAAAAGATAAGTGATTTTTGTAACCCATAATTTTGTTTCTCATATAAATATACGTCTTCTACGTAATATTAAAAAAAAGTTACATATTCAAAATCAAATTACCTTCCATTTACGCGACAAAATTTACTTTCTGTCAAATATTCAATATATATCGGAATGTACTTAATTGTATATGAAAATTACTTAAGTCTTTTTCATGCAGATTGTACTAATACGTAATGGCGGTGTATTTAAATTCCAATGACTATTGACAAGTCACAAGCCATTAAATAAGTCTTAATCTCACTAAATAAAACTTTTTATTAAAGATAAATTATTTTTTAAAGATAAATTATACATATTAAGGGAAGCTACAGAATACTATATTTACATTTTAAGATATTTATTATGAAACATTTAAAAATATAGATTTTAATAGATGGCGCATACCTTACCAGAAATAATGTATGCTCTCTTTCTCTCTCTTTCATATACATGTTCGTAACCATATTGAAATGGCATACTTGGGTATGAAAGTACTCTTCAGTAATAGATATTCCATATTTGTCAAATTTTTTCTTTTTTTGTAATCGGGTTTAGTTCTTAGCGATTTTTAAACATGGCTTACTTGTATCAACCTGATTACGTTCGTTATATGTGTAATTGTGGTTCTCTAAAACCTATTTCAAAAATATATTTTTGTCGGCACTGTTTAAAAATTCGATGTGGTTACTGTGTCTGTCAAGAGGTATATCATTTTTTTATTTAAACTAATTTTAATGCTATTTAAAGAGATTAAACTGATACCATTTTATAATTATATTTTTAAAAATAATTAAAATTATTCTAAAATAGGTTGATTTATATTATTGTCCAAATTGTATGGAAAATTTACCCTCATCAGAAGTTCGTCTTAAGAAGAACAAGTAAGAACTTAAATTAAGCAATTAATATGTAACAATAATTTAGTTACTAATCGATTTATTTTATTAACAGATGCTCAAACTGCTTTAATTGTCCTAATTGTTTTCAAATGTTATCTACGAGAGCAGGACATGTCCCATTAAGACCAACAACAAAGGAAGGAGAAGATTCAAAAGATGTTAAAGTTTTACCTAAAAAAGTTTATTATTTATCTTGTTCTTTTTGTCGATGGAGTTCTAGAGATGTTGGTATTCCAGATCAATTTATGGGTATATAAATTATTTTTTATTCAAACTTTCTATTTTATTATTAAAGTTATAATAAAAATTAATTTAAGAGTTTTCCCATTTCATATAGCCACAGGAAGATGGTCTGAACAAGAAAATCCTCATACAAGAAGAATTAATGCCTTAATAGACTACCATAAAATATTGACTTCTATAGAGAAGCGACAACGAGAAAGAAAAAAATTTCAACCTAAACGTTCATTTATACAATATGTAAGACCACATTTCACATTAACTAAAACTTAAATTATAAAATGCATATATTTAAAACATATATTACTGATTTTTATAAAATATAAACTTATGTATGGAGAAAATGGATTTATAATTTTTTCTAATAATTTTTCGTTAATATCTTACAGGAATCATTTGGGCTAACATCTGCAATGATACATAAACATATTGTTCAGTCAAGAAAACCTCAGATTCAATTGCAATTGTCTGATCAACCAACTCCTTCTATTGCTTCAGAAGATGTGGAAGAACTATCATCAGAAATATTTACTGAGCCTATAGATATTATAAAAAGTAATAATTTCATTTTTAAATATTTATAATTTTACTTGAGTATTTTTTAATGCAGAAATTTACTAAATTTATCATGTTATGTTAGTTAGTACTTTAGAGCAACGTTTACATCACCCTGATGTACAAGCAGAGAATGTAAGTGAATTACGTCCACAACGTAGGCAACTTTTAGTTAAGAGATCACAACGTTGCAGAGTTTGTGAGCATAATCTTAGCAAACCTGATATATGCCCGCAGTCTACAAAATTCAAAATTCAATTAGCTGCATTGTAAGTACAATGTTTCATCATAAATAAATGTGACTTCTTGAAAATATATTAATTAATGAATTAATCAATGTTTCTAGTTATCATATACCTGAAGTAAAGATTGTTACTTGTGAACCATTATATCCTGGTAAACCCAGTGAATTATTTTTAAAGTTCTGCAATCCTACACGACATCCAACACAAATAACTTTATTTCCATTGGATGTGTCAATGGCACCTATTCCTGTTACTGATGTTACAGAGAAAGGAGAAATTAAGAAAGATGATGTGCAAATGGTAATATTTTATTATTTTAAAAGTATTTAATAATAAAATACAAATTTTATGTTAATGTCATTTATAACGTATTCAGATAAGTGAAGCTCTGAATTCACTACCTTCTGTTGTACGCCAAGCACCTGTTGTAGAAGAAGTTAAAACAATAAAAGTCGTTCCAAATGCAGATTTAGTATTGCCTCATAGTTCTTTAATTTTGCCGGCTAGAGATGATGCTGCAGAATATGATGACACGGTTGATACTCATAATTTTCAAGATGATCCAAAGTAAGCATTTATTTTATTAAAATATTATTAATTTATAGACTGTATATTAATTTGAATATTAAATATAAATTGATCTTTATATTTATAAAATAAATATTTATTTCCATTCAAAGGCTTGTAGTCTGGAGAAAAGGAAACAAAGCAATAGTGAGACTTAATGTTACACCATTTGAAAATGATGAGATAAAAGAAGTTACAGTAGGATTTGTAATGCAACATGGATATGTAAATACAATTACTGCTTTAGAACATAAAGCACCACAGAAATTGGATTTGAAGGTTAAATTATATTTGACTCTTGGGAAACTTTGTAGTCCTACATAGTAATCTAAAGATTATTTACTTAAAGCTGATTTAAATGAAAGAAAAGTGAATGAAAATTGTAACTTTTTAACACTGAAAATGCACAGAAATATAATATCTAAATCATTGTATTGTAATCAATACTTATATATATTAATTTAATTATTTGCTAAAGAATGCTTGTAATTAATTATTGATATAAATTATTTATTTTTTATGTACTGAAATAGTAACTCTTATGTTAAAGTAATAAATAAAAATAATAATGAGACAATTTTATTTTATTTATATTTTATTACAAGAGCTAGTTAATTATTGGCGTTGTAAACTTATATTAGAAGAATTGAATAATCTTTATCATGTTATAATATTAATGATAATGAGATACCGTTTGTTCTTTTTATGTGTTTATTGAAAAGGATTTAATCATGTATACATCTAGAATCATTTACAATCTGCGACCACGACGACCTCCCTTTCTACGTGTCGAATCTGATGGAATAGGAGTTACATCCTCGATACGACCAATTTTCATACTAGAACGTGCGAGAGCACGTAATGCAGACTGTGCACCAGGTCCAGGTGTTTTTGTTTTATTTCCACCTGTCGCTCTTAATTTAATATGCAACGCTGTAATACCAAGGGATTTGCATTTTTCTGCAACATCCTGAGGAAAAAATATTTTTATTTTAGCATTTAGATAATGTGATCACATAACAATAAATATTACAAATCTGTTATGTATCATTCTAATAATAAAAATATGTATCTATTATATAACACATATTTTTAAATATGAAAAAGAAATTTAATGTTCCACAACATGAACGCTCTTTGGATTATATATAATTATTACCAAAGTGCTGCCTAAATGTGGAATAAAAAAAAATAATATTTAAGTTTAATAGATTTACCTGTGCTGCAAGCATAGCAGCATACGGAGAAGCTTCATCACGATCAGCTTTTACTTTCATACCACCAGTAACTCTTGCTATGGTTTCCCTGAAATAAATATATGAAATAAAACAAAGATAATATGAAAAAAAGAATATAAATTTCTAACCTTCCAGATAAGTCAGTCACATGTACAAACGTGTCATTAAAACTTGCAAAAATGTGAGCAACACCAAAAACTACTTCTCCTTCACGAACTTGAGGACCAAGGGAGACCTGAACTTCTTCTTTTTGAACCTTTCCCCTTTTAGGCGGCATTTTTGTGAAACTGAATAATATAATAAGTATTATGTTTATACGTATATTTGGATGATTTATCTTTAGAAATTTAATCTTATAGGTTATATTCTGACAGCATTTGAGTGGAAGTAATGTTAGTGTTGCATGAACTTAATCCATTTACATCGCTGTTTCATAATGTAATAAGAAAATTTGTATAATTATAATTTATTTGAAAATGTTTACTTTTTATAAACAATAGACAATTTTTCTTATAGAATACAGAATATGTACACAATTATCGCAAAATCGTACCTTCGACGATTTCTCGCACGCTTCAATCAAAATGGAAAACAGAAAAAGACATTTGCTTTGAATAGAGTCTAATACTTGACGCTAGAGGGCATTCAAAGAAACATTGGACAAATTTAATAAATAATTGTAATAATCATAGTTTGAATTCGATTAATAATTTTAATCAAAGTATATTATATGTCAATATAACAAATTTGGAGAATAATGCAAATTAAATTATATAATTTATATAATGAATATTGGAAATAGTTTTATCATATAATACATATAGTATTTTCATGAATATACATCATAATTTGTATAGGTTGGTATGATTGTGATATTTAACATACATTGTTGGTATCGCTTTTATTGTTTTATACAATATGGTGGTGAATGATAGTCAATATATATTGTGAACTGTTTGAGAAAGGGTTATATTTTGTATAACTTAATTTACGAAGTAGATGAAAAGTTTTCAATTCAGAGCTAATTTTATATAAGAACATGCCCCATTAAAGTAGGTTTTATAATTTTGTTTAAATATTTTTCTCTTTCATACGGTCATATTTAATTATATTGTTGTATATATTATATCAGTATTAACCTTTTTATTTCAACAAATTCTAGCTGTGTAGATCTTATTTTACGAAGATTTGACAGATAATAATAAAAAAGAAGATGACACCAAGTAGTAGTTCCGATGGCAGCAGCGATGAAAGTCGTAATGGAAGATCACACAAAAGTTGTAAAAGGAAGCGCGAACATAGTTTTGTTCAAGATAGACGAAATAATAGAAAAGAAATTGCAAGCAAGAGTAAAATTCATAAAGATTCTAGAAGTGGAAGAGAAGTACATAAAAGTAACAGAGATTCAAGAAGAGATAGTACTGAAAGAACACATCGTGAGAGAGATAGAGACATGGATCGGGATAAGGATAAAAGAGAACGCCTAGAGGAATCCAGATCCAGCTTTCGTGATCATTCTAGAAGGCAAGATGATAAACAAAGTAATAAAAGAAAATATGAAAGATCACAACCGAAAAAAGAGGATACTCGATCAAGATTAAAAGATAATGAAGATAAAACATTATCAGTAAAAGGCACAAATGAGTCTGATAGAAGACAAGAAAAACATGATAAATCAAATAAATTTCTAGCAGACGATGTGACTAGAAATAAAGAACAAGAACCACAATGGGGAAAACAATATGCAAAAGATAAATCAAAACCAGTGTCTCAAGAAAAAGAAAAACCTAGTTTTGAATTATCTGGAAAATTATTAGAGGATACAAATACAGTCAATAATGTTGTGATAAAATATGCAGAGCCATCAGATGCAAGGAAACCAAAACGAAGATGGAGATTATATCCTTTTAAAGGTGAAAAGGCTTTACCTACTCTTTATGTTCATAGGCAGTCAGCATATTTGATGGGTAGAGATAGAAAAGTAGCTGATATACCGTTAGATCATCCATCATGTTCTAAACAGCATGCAGCTTTACAGTATCGTTTGGTTTCATTTCAAAAAGAAGGTGGAGGTGAGGGAAGACGGATACGTCCATACTTAATCGATTTAGATTCTGCAAATGGAACTTTTGTGAATAATGTGAAATTAGAACCAAGAAGATTTCACGAATTGTTGGAAAGAGATGTGTTACGTTTTGGTTTTAGTTCTCGAGAATATGTTTTGTTACATGAGTTAAGTAAAGATGATTCGTTAGATGACGATGTTCCACTCACCAGTACAACCTAGGTGACATAAACTATATATTGCTACTAATGTACAAGCTATTTAAAATGGATCTATATAATGTATATTTTGTGAACTTGTAATAAAGTTAAAAACTAGTAATGTAGAGAATTATAAATCATGAGATTAGCAGAAGTTTTAATTTCTTACATTCATTCTGCTAGATTATAGTAACACAATTATTGTCATCTTATATTTTGAAAAGGCAAATTTATTGTGATTTATTCTCTAGCTTTTTTCTTTTTAAATAGTACAATAGCGAAAAATATTGACGAATATATATAAGTAAATATTAAATACTTATATAAAATTTGTACGTCAAAACTGTTGTTATTAAATTATGAATTAAGTAAAGTATGAAAAACAAAGTTTTTGTTTTAATATATTTATTTTTAAAATAAAAGTCATACTTATAAAATGGAAAGATATTGATGGAGGAGAGTTGTAATTGTAAGTTAGTTGAAAGAGTTTTAAGAGTTATAAGATACATGGTAAAGTATAGGTAAAATTTTAAAAAGTTGTAAACGATCAGGTGCCTTGTAAATTCTAAGGAGAATTAATTAAATATAAATAGTAAGTATAGTGAAATTATAAAATGGAAAGAAACATATTAAAATCAGAAAGCTGTCATTTTAAAACAAGATTCGAGCATCATTATTGTAAATTACGTCATAATGTTTTCAGATTAAGATAACTTATTAGATTGTTGATTATTTTTTTAATAAATATTCTTACACACGTGATTACATTATTTTATGATATATAAATCAAGATATACAGAACAAATATAAATAAATTACTTTTGGTTTTAAAGAGAAACGAAAACAAAAAGGATATAAATAAGGTTGTAATATTAATTATTATATATCTTATCGATTTTATCAAAATTTATTTGACAAGTTCATGGTAAAATATATAAACATGAAACGAATAATTAAAATTAATTAATGTATTAGAGCATAGAAAATGAAAATGAATATTTCCGAGTCGAATGAAATCAATTAAGAATTCTACAATCCTACAGATCGATCTTAATATTTTGTAATTCTTCTGAATTTATATTAGGTAAGATATATAAAAGTTATATTTAATCGAGTAATTTCTTAACAATAACAGTAATTATGATAATAATAGTAATAATAATAACAACAATGACTATTATAAAAGATATCTGCTATATTAACAATTATTTTTTCGACGTATCGTGTTATAACAATATATTATAAAAGTATATCATAAAATATCTATGATCATATCATTGTGTGTTTGAAATTCAGCGTATTCGAGCTAAAAAGTGAATACTCACCCGACTCAGAACATTTTAGGTATTCGATCTTATCAAATGACTATTAAAATCTTAATGCATGTAAAATTCATATATTTTTTCTATTTATATAATGTGCAAACGTAAAAATTACTTCAATATTAGGTAAAATAAATGATCGTAAAAATATCCTAATCGAATTCTGAACACTGGAATAACGCAAATGGACATGAATGAATTTTTACAAGTTGTATAATGAGTATCTTTATCTATCTTTTCTAATTTAAATTTGATCGGTATTTACAAAAGATATATATATATATATATATATATATATATAATAATAATAATAATAATAATAATAATAATAATAATAATAATAATAATAATAATAATAATAATAATAATAATAATAATAATAATAATAATAATAATAATAATAATAATAATAATAATAATAATAATAATAATAATAATAATAATAATAATAATAATAATAATAAAACCGAAGTCTTTTTATTTTACATTTTGTATTTGCGGCACTCGCGGAAGATGAAAAAAATGGCAGTGTACTGGCTAAAATTCACAACTCTTTTTACACTGTCAATCATGTACAATATTTATAATTTATGCGATTAAGTTTAATCGTTTAATTTCTACATTTTTTTGCAATAGACAAATTTACGCGACAATAAAGGAAAATACATATATATTCAATATACGTTTACTTCATATAATGTATCAACGATCGATAAAATAATAGTGCATGTATATGTATTTTATTGTACAAAGTTATTTTTTTTACTACTACGTATCGAATTACGGATCATATATATATATATATATATATATATATATATACATACATACATATATATATATTATGTGTATATATTGACGGATTATATATAAATTTAAGTTTAAGTTTAAGATGGATTATATATAATTTATAATTCATTTTATAGCACTAAGCGCAAACAATAAGACGGAAAGGATGTGCAATAACATCAAAGGAAATTGCACTTTTTTCAATAAATCGGTCGAAGTCGAAGAAGAAAGTTCAAACGTACAAAGTTGTTAGCGATTTTGTACGAATTTGATGCAGGTACACTTATACAAGTTTAAATATAAGAGTTGTGAGTATATATTCGTATTTACAAAATACAATAGAAAGAATCATTTTAAGATCCGTTCACTTTAACAGTGTCCGTGTTAATGTTCGTATAAGTAACGCTATTATTACCGTCCTCGATTATTGGAGTTTGTCGTAACAAATTTAATAATGCACTATTTATCACTAAAGGAATATTAGCTTTACCACTTTGTAAGGTGGATTGTGTCCTTTGTATTTTTGTTGAATTATTGTTTTTAATGCTATTATCACTGATGTCTCCATTTTCATCCGGTTTTGTAGCATTGCTCCTTGAAGAAACGTTTTGCAAATCGTTCGTAATCACATTCGAACGAATAGAAACCGGTATATTCGTATTTGAATTAATTACCATTTTATCCTTTTTTTCTAAACTCATTTCCGATTTTCTTCGTTCGATTGTGTTATTTCGCTTGTACTTTTGTTGCTCGTTCATTAATGAATCTCCTGTAAAACTTGCTCTAATGTTGGAGTTTCTTAACTTGGACGTGTCTAATGTTTTACATCTATCAGTCATATTTGTTTTAAAAACCGCTTCTTTGCTAGGTTCGGAAGACGTTATCGATGATCTTCGATCCTTAATACCATTTTTTAAGAATTCCTTGGACTTTCGCGAATCTTCTAAACTTCTGACTTCCATCAGTCCTTGGGAAATCTTATCTATGTTTATTAAGTTTGGATTCGAAATATGAATCGATCGTGGAACTTCATACTCAGTCACTCGATTTTCTCTAAGAACAACGTCGTCATTATCCGCTAATAATTCTAAATATTTTGGTACGTCCTCCGGCTGAGTTACAAGCGTTGCATTCTGTGAATTCTGAAGGAAAGATTGCATGTCTCTACTTCCTTCCGAGCTACTCGATTTCCAAGAGTTACCTAAATAAATATAATTTAATAATTAAATCGTTAACATAAGAAAACTATCATACGAGAGCATGGTTCGAATCGTGATGATAAATGCAATATAAATTACGAAAGAGCATCCAAATATTGAGTTAAATTAACGAAAGCTATAATTAGAAATAGTTATATATTATAAAAGTAAGCGGTAAACGCGATTTGTATGCAAGAGCCAAATGAGATTTGATTAAACGAATGGTGGATATCTTTTTCATACATTTGTGAATCGACAAAATGTACAATAATTATGTATTTCAAAAAATCATGTAAAGTCGATAGAAAAGTTTCAGTTTATGTAAATATACAAATTTTTTTTTATTTCATTTATTTTTCTTTTTATTAAACAATGAAATAGACATGCTTTAATTGTACGTAGTGAAACCCACCTGGATTATTGCAATTTTGATTCTCGTCAGCGAAATAAGCCATGTTAGATACGCCTGCAAGCATTAAGTCATGCGATGATCAGTATATTTTCAAGCATTTTCGCGTCAGATACAGTTAATATATAACTCTTTCATATTGAGAGAGAGAGAGAAAGAGAGATATCCCGAATCTTTTTGCGATCCCTATTTGTAACCAATTCAATACCGTGTTAATAATTCACGCTCGCATATACATAGATAAGAAATCATGCTATGATTTCATGTATCATACCTATGGCAAAATATTGCGATTAAAAGTTATGATTCGTCATATAAATAAATAAGCTTTCAAGCATATATTACACGTGAATAAGAGACGGTAGAAAATATTGTATATTTTTTTAAGTGAATTTCTGTAGTATCGAACGTGCAAAATACGTTTGGTATTGATCGTGCAATAATAGTAACGATAGTAGTGAAAAATCGAAAAAGATGTGGTTTATTCGGCGAGTCGCGATATTGAGTATATAATATAAACAGTTGACGATATTAGAATATGATAAAATATGATAAATCAACGTTTGATGTTTAAGCACAATTTGTAAGCATATTTTGTGAATGATTCTTTCACTCACCTCTTCGTACCAAATAGTGACCAGCGTGTACAGGACTTAACACGGCATCCTGTATGTTTTTTCGAAGATTGACGATATGTTCGAGACAAGTTTTAAAGCTCGGTCTACTATCGGCAACACTCCAGCAACATAACATCAAACGATGTAACGTCGGTGGACAATTTAAAGGTTTTGGTAATCTTCCACCTGCTCGTACGTGATGTAATACCTCTAGATTCGTTCTAGCTGGATAAGGTTGTTGTCCTAACGAAGTGATCTCCCACATTAATACACCAAATGCCCAAACATCGCTTTGAGATGTGAAGACCCCATCTACTAAGGATTCTGGGGCCATCCAGCGAACGGGAAGTAATCCTTCACCTTCCTACGAACATTTCAATGTTCACTATTTGATTTTTCATCTTGATAATATCTATATACTTGTAGATACAACAAAAACACATTACTTACTTTCCGATAATAATCGTTTTTGTAAATGTCTCTTGCTAGGCCAAAATCGCCAATCTTAACAACCCGATTCTCACGTTCTCTGGTCGATACCAAACAATTTCTACAAGCAAGATCTCTATGTACAAAGTGAAGTTCTTCGAGATATCGACAACCTCTAGCCACGTCTTCGCACATTGCTAGGAGGTCTTGTAGACGTAAGGCATAAGGGTCTGTGGGTTGTAAGGATCTGCTCGCTCTCAAATAACTCAACAGATCACCGGCTTCCATCAACTCTAACACTAACAATGGAGGGTCTATGTCTAAACAAATACCCAAAAGTCTTAGTACATGTTTATGTCGGAAGTGACTCATTAGTCGTGCTTCTTGTAAAAATTCACTCTTTTCTTGTGCCGTGGCACCTTTCCGAAGTGTCTTTATAGCAACAGGTGTTACAGTGTCAGGTCCATCCAATTCTTTAGCATTTCCTTGAAACACCTAAAAGTATGAGGGATAGATATTTCGATTGTACATATTCAAATAATTAGGATATATGTATATGTGTGTAAATCCTTATATTTATTAACCTCTCCAAATGCACCACTGCCTAAAAATTTAGCCAACGTTATTTGTTCTCGTTTTATTTTTGGTAGCATGGAATCATCTGGATCGTTTTGCATGGTAGACGCGTAAAGAGCATTTGGCTGAACAAAATTACTACGAGGTATTTCTCGTAACGTTGCTAATTCGACGTCCGATACTATAGGTGATAAAACCACTTTTTTATCATCCTTGCGTTGTCTGTAGACTGTTAAAAGAATATTGAATTTTAAAATACAATTTCGTACATTCTAATTAAAGGTTTAATTTCAAATAAATTGAAAGTCAACTTACGACATAGAAAGTAGCAAAAGCAAACCAGGCCGAAAGCAATGACCGGCACAGTTAAACCTAAAATTAATCCTAATTGTTGCTGAGTCGCTAGGAATCCACCGACAGCAGAGTCGGTCAAATCGATAACGTTGCTTGACCTGCTCCAAGCACCAAATCCATAAGCGTTTCGAGCTCTCACACGAAATCTGTACCTTCGATCCATGTCTCCCTTGATAATCCAGTAATTATCCGTTCCGTTATAACACAAAGTCCAACTTTCACCGTTACTCGTCGCTGCTTCATCTCGTTGTCCTTCGTCAATCATTTTAGCTTCTAGACGGTACAATGTAATTTGAGAACCGTGAGCCTGTGCAGCGTCCCAGTTTAATTGGTATACGGAATTGCGTAATTTAATTACGGTCGGTGTACCAGGTGCACTCGGTACATCTCCTGGAATCGTTGGAATAGTTAAATAGGTATCTATTTGTTCAAATATCAAATATGATACTTATTAATTATGAGCGTTACATACCAAGAGTTTGATAGGTGAATCTTCCATCCGGTGACCATATAAAATCCTGATCATAATTAGGATATCGGAGTAACAAGCGAAACTTATAAAGAGTACGGGGTTGTAGATTTCGCAGTCGATAAATGACTTTTTCTGAATCGATTTCGGATTCATTCGCAACGCGCCATTCTTCTAGGGCAACGTCTTTATATTCTAAGACGTAGCTAATTGTTAGACTTACCGTGGGTACCCAGGAGATATTTAAACCGTTTATACTGGCTGTGATCAAAGTTAAATTATTTGGCTCCGGATACATACTGATCATTTGTTTTTCGCTCTCGCTAAAAACTTCGTTAAAATGTGCTGGACAAGCACGAACAGATATAAAATACACTTGCCCCGGTAACAATGGCTGTAACATCGCGACAAATTTACCATTTTTTATTTGTTCTGTATCCTTCACTAGCTGCTCACCCTTCTGTCGAACACCATTTATCAAACTATCTGATCTCCAATGAATTTCGTAACTCACTGCAGGAGAATTGAATATTTTTGGTGGCATCCAATAGACGGCAGCCAAAGTAGGTGTAAGAACTTGAATGGATACGTTTTCTGGCGCACTAGGAGCTCCAGCATCTGTTGTCAGTATGATACCTGAACTAAACTCCAAATTTGCCCTATCCGATTTGATGTAGATATTAGCTAAGCTCAATTTTATCAAATATCGCGTAAAAGGTTTTAAGTTTTCTATTGCATATTCTCTTTCATAAGTTTGATATCGTTTACATTTTTCCTTGCTATCAGAACTCTCACGACAATCTTCTGAACTATTCTCTGCACATTCATAAATGTCCATGAGATATAAAGTTCTTGGTAAGTTGTAAGCTTTGCAGCCATTGTGAGGAAGAGGTTGTGGTAATTTAACGGTGATGCTATCAGCTGTTTTCTTTACTTCCTCTATATCATACAACATTCGGCGTGGTGTTAAACATTCTGCGCTTGGATAAGGTTGCAAAGATTTACCCAGAGCTTTGATACTTCGTATGTGTGGAGTATGAAAATCTATTATTTTTCCTTTCTCTAAGTATCTTTTGTTAACGAGATAAAGTTTCATCTCCGCATTTGTCCAATAAATGTTTATCTTGTCTACCGTTAAGGAAGCAAACGTTAAACCCTTATCCAAGCTTGGATCTATTATCATTTTGCAAATGCATCCATTAATATCGGCGATGTATAAATGTCCTTCAAGTGATACCCAATACAGAACTGGATTTTCTGTTTCGGTACTATCTATCGTCATTACTGGCGAGACAGACGGTCGATACGGACAAGAACAATCTCCCATTTGATTAAAAAACGGTTGAATATTTTCTCCGTAGAGATCTGATTGCATTATTACGCCACGGTCGTTTTTTGTCGATTCTATCCAATATAAAGATCTAAAAATAAGTTTTATTATATTTATATAGATATATTTCTGTATATACAATATTTTAACATTTATATCAAGTAATATTATTATATTAATTTATTGTAGTCTTACCCCACGGATGGTAATATATCCAATTTTACGATACGTCCGTTTCTAGTTATTATTGGTTGAAACGTTACAATTTTGTCTTGTAACATTGATAAATCTAATTTTAGGATACGACTTTCGCTTTCCTTGTCATTCGATTCACTCCAATACAAATATTTTGCAATCCAATCTATGCACAAACTGTACGCAGTATTATTAAGGGTGAAGATTTTTGTGACATGAATTCCTGTTGAATCGGACAAGATTAATTCTTGTATTTTATTGATCCAAAAAATGTTATTCTCTGCAGCGGAAAAAGCTATTTCAACGGCTACGTGCCGCGTAATAGTATAATTATTCATTTTTTCGTCCAGATCGATTACATTTACAGCATCAGTCGTTGCGAGTAACAATCGTGGTATAGGATTTTCATAAACTGTTGATACGCCAATTACGTCGGTGTAAGGGCCAGGTCCGATCATCGTTCTGGCACGAACTTGAAAGTAATAAGTCACGTTTGGCGATAAATTGTAAACTTTGTATTCTAGTATATTAGAAGGTACGTTAGATTCGTCACAAACGTGTATGTCAGTATGATTTGCTATCTCGTTGAACCAACATTGAATAGTGTAGCCTAGTATCACTCCATTTTTAAATTTTGGCCGATTCCATCTATAGCAAATGAAAGATGAGAACTTGTTAAAAAAATAAAAAACAAGTGGTATATAGGAACTGTAATATATATTGTTTGCGATTATTTTTACCTAAATATTACAATAGTTTCCATTTTTTCGTTAAGCGGTACTCTATGATTTTCTACGAACAGTCTAGGATTTGTAGGCTCGGACGGAAAGCTTTCCGGCGATCTCAATACTTTTCTAGAATGATGTGCAGTTTCCCAATACGTAAAAGCTTTAACCGTGACTTCCAATAAAGAATATGGTTCTATACGTTCTGAATTATTATAAGACATAGAAGTTTCGCTGGTTATCTCGGGATTGGAATTGGTATTAATATGATCAAGAAATTTAACTTCATAGAAGACCGTTCCATAGTTGATATTATCTACTGGGTCCCAAGATACATTGAATTTTCCTGAGATACCTTCGACTCTGATACTATTGAAATCAACGGCATTTGGTAAAACGACAACGCTTTCAGATGTCAGGTTTCTTGGATAACCGTGAAGAGCTGGGTCCATGACAGCAACCATTCGCAAACCCGATAACGTGATACCATTAATAATCGCCGTGTTCTGTCCGAATAGATCACCGATCACAGCGTTTCTATCATCTTGAAGCCATAATAGATGTTCCGAAAAATAACATAGAGGTCCTTGAATATTTGGGTGTTGTAAAGCTGACACCTGTGAAAGGAAAATGAATTAAAAATAATGAATATGTTGAATTTTAACTTTTAATTAGGCTTACCTTTTCCGGTATGATTTTTTGATCCATTGGTATTCTTTCAGAAGTAGGTGCACGGTAAACAATAGATCCACTTTCGTAGCTCCTGACAATCCAATATAAATAACGATGCTCGCTATCCAACGTTAAACCCATCACTTGCTTCCCATTGAATATCTCATCAGAGTGATAATACCTTCTGTCCTGTCCATTTAAGCGTGCTACTTCTACCGCGTGACCAGTCGACCAATACAAGTAAGCTTCTAAAGAATCGATCAAAAGTTCTTTAACGATCGCTAAAATCGACATGGGTTCTTGTTGCGAACCATTCAAGTTTGCTCTTGTTATCTGTAAGATAATTCGTCTAATGAATTAGGTGAAATTATATTATTTGATTGTGAATTAAAAAAGATGGTTACAATTTGTTGTTTTGGATTAGCCCAATATAATTTTTTTGATATCCAATCTACCGCAACACTCCCAACGGAATGGATATTTAACTTAGTTTTCACATGGGTTGTAAAGTTATACTGATATAGAACAGAATTATTTCCTACGATATATAGCATATCTTTGTACCAACTGACGTCTACTATGTGGTAAGCATTTTCGGAGTCTTTCAAACTCGTCTTGTAAATTAATGTATCGATGTTTTCTCCTGTGACGTCACTTTTTAAAAGACCTTCGTTCGCTGACCATAAGATAGATGCACGCGATCCATTCCTAATTGTATCAAAATAATATTTATCTACGAAAATTGAATAAAGCTCATTGTCAGCATACATACAGATTGAGTATCTTACCTCAAGGTGCGTCCACGGAATTCAGTTGACCATGGACCTCTGCCAGCAGTTGTATAAGCAGCTGCCTTGATCGAATATTTTGATTTTTCTCGTAAATTATGTACCGTGTGCGAAGAACCGGCTATTTCTTTTTGACGAATCGTCTCTCCTGTTGATTCTTCTTTAATTTCCAATTCGTACGACCAATTTTGCCAAGCACCTTTACCCTGGCCACCTAGTAAATGAGGTACTTGCCACGAGACCTTGGCTCTTTCAGCGCCTAAAACAGCTTGTACGCCTGTAGGTGGATTCACTGGAACTGGAACGGGTTGACTAGCGTCCATTAAAACGTTCACACTTACAAATGAACCATCCAATCTAAGGAGAAGATCATTATAGGGAAAATTGAGTGATTTTTAAAGATTTACGAATATTTTTTAATATCACATCACGCAGATTCTATATATATATATATATGAATATTTTTTCTTTTGTACCTGTCGGGATATGCATTATGAAAGTATCTGTTCTTTCCGGAATGATACCCCTCGGTTAAGACCTCCTCTCCATTTGTCCAATAAAATAGACCATTAGCCATCGCCAAGGAGAGTACGTTCTTAAATTTAGGTTGTTGCGTGTTGGCACGCAAGTTTAGCACTTCCCGTCCGTCGAGTGATACGGACATCACCGTATTTTCCGTTTGATGGGGTACTAGTAGTCGGAAATTCGTGTGATCAACGGTAAATGCTCCTAAGTGCTCATCCTCTAGAATGAGATATGGCTGAACCTATGGAATATTTACATGTATATATCTTTTTTTATGTAAAAATTATTAAATTATAAAACGTTTCGATAAGCGACTTTCCCTCTTTTACCTCGTGTTTAACTCCATTACTTATATCAGCTAAATCCAATCTATACAATCCTCCTCTAGTTACCCAGAAAAGATAACCATTGTAAGGATCTACTTCGATGTGAGATGGTCGTGTCAAGAAACCGGCCATAGCTACGGTTAAACCTTTACCGTCTAAATTACATCTTGCTATTTGCCAAACGGTTGTAGAATGTTTCACTTCACCCAATACGTATAGCTGTAGATTTAACCAATCCACGGATAAACTCAATGGTTTAAAATTAGCTTCGCTCGGGCTAAGTATCGTTATTCTTTTTCTAAGTTCTGGTGGTTCCAAGATCGATGTTCTGTATACGTATCCCGTAGAGTCCGAAACAAATAGTTGAGCAGAAGCAACATGAATAGCCACTCCACGAATAACGCTTGAGGTTCGATAAACTACACTAGGCTCGTCGAGCATATCGGCACCTTGTTTCATTACAACGTGTTCTCCACCGAGTATGAGAATTGGTTGTTCCGTGTCTTTCACTGAATTTTATACGAATTCCATTTTAAAAGATGTTTCTAGATGTTATATTTTCAAATCAATCCGATTAAAAGACACATATAAGTATGTACCTGTAGGTTCGGGGTTGGTAGATATATGAATCGTTGCCGGTGGTCCTTCCCCTACACTGTTTCGCATCGTAACACTTACAGAATAATTTTTATTCGGCTCAAGATTTTGAAACATATAATGATCCGTGTTTTCTGAAGCTGGTATGTCCTGTTGATATATTATAAAATAAATTTAACGGATTAAATATCTCGTAGGTACCGTGCAAGAATCCCGTTATGAGCCCAATTGTGTTAGAAAATACCCTGATGCGATCTGGGAAAAGACGCCATGCCAGAAACATGTATAGTATAGAAGTTTGGTCGAATAGATCAGAAAACATAACTATTAAGAAAGATATTAGTAATGACTAGTTCATAATGGTCATTTTAATAGCGATAAGCAATACTTGAATGTTGTTAGAATGTAATGATTCAGTGTTAAATGTCTATCGTATTTTAACCATCTTGGTCGATCGACTAATTGAACTGTACTTCGAACGGCGTATCTTTTCCCCGATGAATCATTTCGCTTGAGCATATAGAATAGTATAGTTGATTTTGTTGGAAAGGCATGCAAATGTTACGTGATGAATTTCTATTGCAAAAGGCACCCGTATGAACGAACAAAAATGAAACTCCGTCATGGTAAAACATCACACATATAAATCGGTAACGATGAAACGATATCAAGGTCAAAAGTGTATTGGCCTTAATACGGTTGATGAATCATATTACGACAGCGTAATATTAATTTTAAAATGATGTACTAAATACGATTTACAAGATGAAGATTAAGCGGTGAAAGAGATATACAAGAGGATATTTATAATATATTGACATATATAGAAAAGATAAAAAAAGAGATAGAATATAAGTGAACGGGAAAGAAATGGCTCCAACGAGTTACTTTTCGAATTCTGGCGTGGCGTGTACCTTAAGCTGGGAGTGATCAGCCCCTTGCAGACGTAGGACATAAGACAAAAGTGGCCCATTTGGAAAAGGGCCTGGTTCCCAAGACACAGAGACACGACAACTGTCTACTGCCGCTGCTCTTACAATTACCGGTGCTGACGATGGCAAACCAGCAGCTAATGTTAATATCACCACACTCGGAGCGGAGACAATTGGTTCAGGATTATGCTGCGATGATTTTAAGAGCAATGCCACGCGAAACTGTCGACAAAGCAATTAGGAATTTTTTTGCAATTGTGATCTCGTTAACGAATTCATTATTTTGTTATTGAACGATTTTGAAGTTAACTCACCCTGTATTTTGTATAGGGTTGCAAATTCTCCACCAATATCTGATCGTCCTCCCCCCATGTTTGATTTCTGCAGTACTGCCAAGTTTCAACCAATTCTTCGTACCTCCATTGTACCAGATAAGATATTCCGCTGCTACGTCGATTCATATTCATGCCCTTCCATTCCAATCTCAGCGAGGTCGCTGTCAAAGAGTCCGCCACCAGTGCGGGTGCGGCAGGCACTCCTATCTCCGCTAATTATTAACAAGAGAATACTCGTGTACGTATGAAAATGGTTACACTTTTCGCTGAAACCTTTTTTAGTCTTGTTTCATTTGCTCAAATAAAATTTCATTCTAAAAATGGAACTTCGGGTTTGTTCATTTGAGTTGAGTTAGATTTTTCAAGCGGATGAATTTATCGGGCACGTTGTTACAAAACTCGATTATTTCGTTTTGTACTCATCCAATGTTCGTCCATTATTAGACGCCCGCGCACATGTAGGCAGCAAACATGAAGAAAAGACCTTTCGTATTAAGAACTATTATGTAATACAATATTTGTTGGTTCTTATTTGTCTTGTCGTGAGACAAATTAGCATCGATATCTTAGCTTTCTGCTGTTAAATGGTTTTCGTTTCGAGTTCAGACTGATAATCTTTCGTAACAACGATCTCGAGTGTTCCGTCAAAAGTAAGACAATTTTCTATATAGCTATGTTCACGAAGTAAATCATTAGTGAATGTTTAATATTTCTTGGTGGAAGAATAAATTTAACATGAATGATAATATGGAAGGGAAGCAAGCGCGTTTGGAGAAATTGAAAGAGTACAATAAAATATTGGCCGACTTGAAAATTGTTTTCTGGAAAAAATGGCAAGAGAAGAAGGAACAAAATGGGAAACTCGATGATTTTGAGCGGATTCGAACCATCGGTACCGGTGCTTTTGGACGCGTCATGTTAGTTAAACACAAAGTCACTTCTATTTTCTATGCCATGAAAATACTTCAGAAAGCTAGAATAGTGAAGTTGACGCAAGTCCAGCATACATACAATGAGAAGAAAATATTGCAATGCATTCAATTTCCTTTCCTCGTTTTTATGGAGTTTTTCTTCCAGGATAATACCTATCTTTACATGGTGTTGCCTTACGTTAGCGGTGGTGAAATGTTTACGCATCTTAGACGAATGGGAAAATTCGATGAATCCTTGGCACGATTTTACGCAGCCCAAGTTGCTCTGGCTTTGGAGTATCTTCATCAATGTAGCCTAGTATATCGTGATTTGAAGCCGGAAAATATATTGATCCAAAATACGGGTTATATTCGTGTCACCGATTTTGGCTTTTGTAAGATGATAGAAGGTAGAACATGGACGCTATGTGGTACACCGGATTACCTCGCACCAGAAGTGATCCTTTCAAAGGGTTACAGTCAAGCCGTCGATTGGTGGAGTTTCGGTGTGCTGTTATACGAAATGAATGCCGGGTATCCCCCTTTCTATGCAAACGAACCGATGAAGATTTACGAAAAAATTATCTCTGGTAAATATAAGTATGCTCAACACTTTAGTGAGGATCTGAGAGACATTATAAAGAACATGCTGCAGGTAGACCTATCCAAAAGATATGGAAACTTAAAAAATGGAACGAAGGACATAAAGATGCATCGATGGTTTCAGACAATTGATTGGAATCAAATTTACTATCAGAAAATACAACCATCGTTCATACCAAAATGTGATCATCCTGGTGACACGAGTAATTTCAATGTTTACAAGGAAGAGGCTATGAAGATCGATATCGTCGATCATTATGCTGAAGAATTCGCCAACTTTTGACAATCGTTAATTCTAGATTTGGGTATTGATTGTTTTACAGTATCTACCGGTTACATTGATATACTTTTATGATTCTACGTAACCATGAAGATAAAAAAGAAAAACAAAGAAAAGAAATATAAGATTAGAATCATTCGTGAATTTACCTTTTAATTGTTGAAAATATCGATTCAGTGCATCGTGACAACCCAAAACGCAATACAATTCCTTTGGTGGTAGCAATTCTTGCGTTCCATTCTGCAATAACAAAGATTATACATACATAATTGTATTCAATAAAATAATTTATGATCACGTCGTGTCTAATCGGTTTTATATCTACTATTGAAGAAACACAGGAAGATGGAACTTTTAATCGGACTTAAGTAAACTTGATTGTTACCCGTTATTCCGATAAAACTGAGCAAACATACTAACGCAAACGGTTTGACAACTCATATCGAGCGCCTGCGCCCATGCCTCGCATCCTTTGGTACACTGTAACAAAAAACGACAAATATATTAATCGTGGGAAAGCTTTATTTAACACGTCCGCGTACCCTTTTCATTTTAATAATCGTACTTTGACCGTGAGAACAGTTGGAAATTGATATTATTCGAGCTTAATTTCACTCGTTATTTCTAAATGAGTATTTTGCCTTCTACTTTTTTTTTTTTTTAGTAAGTATACTTTACTTTTGGATCGTATTTAAGATTAAAGATCCTTAGTATTAAAGATCTTTTTGATGATTTGAGCTATCTATTCAAAAAGAGCCTTTAAATATTTGTGTCCTGCTGAACGGTAAATACTTATAGTCGGTAAGGGTATCACATAGGTCAGAACGTCTAAAAGTCTTGTACGAAGAAGAAAAGCGTCTTCCAGTGGTAGATAATGGTTATTATTAATAATCCACTTTGTATTTCTACTCATGAAAGAGAGCGAAAGAGAGAGAAAGAAAGAGACAGAGAGAGAGAGAGAGGGAGAGAGAGGGAGAGAGAGAGAGAAAGAAAGAGACAGAGAGAGAGACAGAGAGAGAGAGAGACAGAGAGAGAGAGAGAGAGAGAGAGAGAGAGAGACAGAGAGAGACAGAGACAGAGAGAGAGAATTACTCTATCGACATTTGGTTGAGAAAATTTAATGTGATTCAATGTACATACGTATATATATAATATATAATGTATACATATATTATAAACTCCATATAAATGAACGAAAACACCGATCCGAAGTCGAAGTACGGACTGTTATGGAATGACTCGAAGCAATATGACAGAGTATTTGCGTTGATTTTTAAGGAAATTATTTCAAGATCGTTTAATATAGAGATAAATGCATATACATATACTATACGTAATATTTATGAACATTGTTCGTTGAAAGTAACATTACTATCGGTGAAAGTAACATTAGCATGATTTTCTATAAAATTTTGCTTTTTTTCGGTCGAACAAAAAATGAAAAAGAGAGGAAAAGAAAGAAACAAAAAGAAAAAGTAAATAAAAATGAAAGAAAAAATGTAGTTACGTTTACATCGACGCTTTTGACGATAATAGCATTTATGAAACTGTTGTGTAGTGATCGTGATAAGAGACTACCGCGCACCGGCTGGCTCGACGCAACAGCTACTAATTTCTCACTTCCTCATTAAATCCTCGACACATATTATTCCCCTGTCGAGAAGCCTCTTCGCTCGACTCCCGACAGATCGTAAATCATACGACGCACGGACGGGAGGTCGACTATTCGCTTGATTCTAGTTTTTCTTTTAAGTCTTTTTTAAGTAGGCGATCTACCCTTTTTTTTTATCTCTCCGGAATAAACAGTTCTCTTAAATTTAAAAAATTTATTTTTTTATAACAAATATTTCTACCTAAATTTCTAGCTAAAATTTCGACAAAAAATTCTAGCTAATTTGTTAATAACTAACGAATTTAATTTTCGTTTCATTTGACGAGTGGATTTATTACGAGCTTCGTCTTCAGAGATTTTTTACCATGGAGATACGCGTTGTTGATTTTGTTTCCTGTTTCCTGTCGTACTTTCCTTTCTGTCACCCTTACTTGAACGCATTATGATCTGTAACGTATTTATGTGGAATTTCATTCATAGCGATTTCATTCATAATTAAGGAACTTTATTTTGTACATACAATGCGTCCATACAATGTTTATATTTTTGACATTTTGACACATTTGTTTCAGAAAAAAATGAAATCCCTAAATCACGAGTATTTTTTTATTTTATTTTTTTTTTTTTATGAAAAACGTAAAGCGTAGAAAAGTCAAAACGATGGACCGGATTAGCCCCTATCACTTTTTCTTGCCCGCAGTTTAACTCGAAAGTACAAGGAACCGTATAAAATTGAATCGAATCGAGACGATGATTGATCGAGATAGGATAGAACGTAGTAAATTATGATGCTGTCTGACTATGAAAAATCTTACAAGAGAGTGTGGAGAGAGCATGGCTGATACAGGAAAAAGATGTGATTATTTTTATGTTGTTGGACGATAATACTCGTAGGATAAAAAAAGGATATGAAGATATTAAGTAATAAAGAATATAGAGAGAAGGACAAACGGATACGGAGAAAAGCAAAGGGAATGAAGGAAGGGAGAAAAAATAAAAGAATCGGAAGGGCAGTCAGAACCGCAGGACAATTTGGCGGCATCCGCCATAGGCCACATTCGAACGCAATCCGATTTACGAAGTCGACGGCAGTGTTGTTCTTTCTCCCTCACGCATACACACACACATATACTTCAACTCGTTGTGTAAGCGTATTAGAAATGAGCGAACGAGAGGAAGAAGGAAAAAAAAGTTAGCGCATCTTTCTTTTTATTTGCCGTTTAGTAGCCCTACTCTAACGGTTACCGAAAGGGGTCTCAGTGATTACCAACGTTGTACGACGCAGCGGAAGTACTTCCATTTCAACGAGGGACCAATCAATCCCTTCATGTTTGCCTCCAACGTTCGCTCACATTAGGTATTTTCGTTCGGTCTTCACTCTGAACGTAGACATTTGTCTCGAATCGAATGAGAAAGGTATCAACGCCTGTACTACTTTGATTTTATTTTATCAAATGTTTTCTATCTTATCAATCGAATGCGTTTTAATTCCTTTGAGACAGTTTCAATGTATTTATTTTGTTAAAAGTATTTATTTCTAATTAATACTCGATCTGTGAACAAGCGATGGAAAAATTAAATAATTTTTTATTTTACGTTACCAACCTGTTCGATTTTACATCTCACGCCGCATCCCACTTCCGGACTACTGTCCTCCGTACGATTCTGCAAAAGAAAGTTAAATTTGTTATTTGATATCGTTACTTGATAGCGAAATGGCTTCTGTTCTCACACAGATTTCTTTTCGTTCTTTTATTTCTGATAGAAAGTAAATCGAATCGATCGTTACGTATATTGGTCTCTATTACGATATGTGAACACGTCAAGATCCAAATTTCTCACGCAACTCACGATATTGGGCTAACGTTTGTTGGACTACGATATACGCTCGGTTTCACACCCTTCAATGGCTTCTCGAGACAACCAGATGTATATTATTCTGTACATTATGTAAACAAATTTATACAGTTAAGTGACACGAGAACTTTCATTATAATAGAGATTATTTTTTCTCATTTACATAAAAAAAAATGTGAAATCAAATAATATCTACTTTTCTCTCTTACGACAAATTATTAATGATATTCTCAAGAAGATTAAAATTTTGTAAAATTTAGACAATCCAATTAAAAAAATGTGTTCCAAATAAAATAAGGTGAAAACAATTAGGAAAATGAATGATCAAAGAAGTACCGACTCTTTCCAGAGAAGAGGAATTCACAATGAAATGTAAGGACAAATGCGAACAACTACATATCAAGAACAATTATATGACCAATTTTTTTCTCAATTCCTAATTCCCGCATCGTGCAAGGACACTTTCTTTTTCTTTTTCTTTCTTGGTCCCGTATCATAAATGGGACAGCTGCATACAACAAGTCCATGCATTCTGTCCTTCTCCGCCATTACATATGATCATCCCTCCCTCTTCGAGGTAGTCACTCTTGAGAATGGAGAGAAGCAGAGGATGATATGGAGAAAGAAGGAGAAGTGGATCAACGATACTAATGTCTCGTGGTGGGAGAAAATCAGGCGGAGTTTGCTACCGAGGAAAGAATTGTCCAAAACGTTAAGCAAGCGAGCGAGCGAGCGAGCTAGCTAAAGAACTCGACAAAAATGGTAGGGGAAATTAGTCTCTGTTTAAAACGCAAACGTATTCCCTTAAATTAGAAGGTGAACCCTTTTAAAGGGTCCGAGTGTCGACGGTTACGTAGGCTAAACGGCGGACGTGCACCTGTTCGACGGAAGTATCTAACGAAGAACAGGTGCATCTGATAGAAAAAGAGGAGGGAGAGAGAGAGAAACAGAGAGAGAGAGAGAGAGAGAGAGAGAGAGAGAGACAGAGAGGAAGGGAGGGACAGAGACCTTGTAAAACATCTCGATATAATTATCCTACAATTCCTTTCGTAACGTCCGCCTTGAATGCCTCTTATCCACGTCTTCGAACGGATTCGAAGAAACGATTAGGGGATTATTGAGCGCTCTATGGGAATAATTTATTTGGATTAAACGATATTCAGAGTTCGTAATTGTAGTGATTGTTAATAACTCATATCTCTAATGTATACGCTACCGAGAAACGTTGGTACTCGAAATATTCCGTGCATATTGCGAAAGATTAACCTACAGATTATGGAAATGTGCATTGAAATATATACCGACGACAACCTACGCTTTCGTCTCGACGTTTAGTAGACGTGTCTACGCATTATTGTTGACTTACACTTTGCAAAGATCTGCGAGGATGCCATATACTTTCTCTACTTTTTTTCTTCTATTTCTTTTTTTTTTGTCGTTGAAAAATAATTTTGATCATTAAAATTGTCATCGTTATTTTATAATAAGAATAGGAACGGGATAATGAGGATTGCGTCTCTAAATGGTAAATACATTATATTACATTATTATAATTTTTGAAGAAAGGAGGTGAAATTTTTGAACGACGGTTACTCCGATTTGGATAGTACGGTGTCAGGTTTTTTTCATACTTTCGGATGAGACCATATTTCTACACGAAACGGTGTAGGATATATACCGGATAGTGATCATCGGACTGGAACACATTGTAGCTACCCTTCCCGAGTTTTCAGGTTTGCCCGCAGGATTCACGTGAGAAATAATTATAGGAACATTCGAAAGTTCAAACGTTTTGTTCGATCCTTTCATTGGATTAATTTATCCTTTCGAAATAATCCATAATTAAATATTTCGTTATATACAACAATTCGATGAGATTAGCTGGTTTGGATCGACTATCAGAATGCGATCCGTGTAAGAAAAAAAAGGAGAAGAAGAAAAGAATTGCGTGGAAGTTTTATTAATTATCGGAAGATTCATTGCGGTGAAAGAGGCTATCGGGCGTAAATAAGAACGATGTTTGAATAAATGATATCTACGTTAATTAGATTTCAATTATTCACGATGGTATTGTACATACATTGAATTTTCAGAAAATATTTTCAGTTAATGTGACACTACATCATAATAATTAAAACAAAGAAGAAAACCATAATTTATCCATCAAATCATTGAATGGTGTTATGCTGCAGTAAGATAGATTAGGAGCCGCTATAAAGTAACTTCTTAAATTTGAGGGAAAGTGCGACGACCCGTATAAGAGCCCGTCTAAACGCATTAATGTAAGTTAAGAGTAAATCTACGATCTGATGTGTGGGACGATACTCCCCTTTCTTCTTCTATATAAGAGTTTCTATGTTTTTACCCCCTTCCCTCTTTCTTATTTTTCAATTTACATTCGAACTTTTGACTTCGATTTCAAAACACGTTCGTTTCTCTGATATGAAATAAAGATCTTTTGAAAGTAACGAGCGATCGAGAGGCTCAATTCACGAGGATTATTAACGCGGATGGTCGTTCTACTTTTCGGAGGTGTGCAATTGGATGGCTTCAATCGTGCCGACGGAAGTCGTTAATGTCCTGCAAGTAGTGTATATGATGCAGGTGACGACCCAATTTTATATCAAACGGGTATATTCGAAGAAATTTTATTTAAACTTCCTCGATGTTTTTATTTAGGATAATTGATAATGATGATAGTTAATTCGGTTTTTTTTTATCAATGAACGAGATTAGATGATTCGCAAAGTGTTTCAATTAAAACAGGAATTTCTTGTTCTATCAGTAATTCGGAAAATATTAATTTTATCAAATATGTGGAAATTTTTATCGAATAACGACGTATATATAAGAATTACAAACAGAAATTACAAACGTCAGAGGATACAAACGACAGGAAGTCCATTGTATAAAGTTATGCGTATTTATGATACTATATGCTTTATGCTTTTAGGATATATTTATTTGCACGACATTGTTTTTATATAATTAATTGGCAACCACGAATTGATACATTTTGATACACTGATATTTTTCAAATACAAACCAATAATGAAATCATTACGATAATTAGAAAATTAGAATTTATTTGACGTTATCTTGCATAGACATTCTGACAGCTAATTCGAATGTCAGATGCGAAAGAGGTTAATTGTAAGGAATTTTGCTCGACTAGTAGTCACCCTTCAACTATGTAACTTCTTTTTACAGCAATTAACAGAGTAGAATATCATATAAAATAAGAATAACGATCTAACATATGCATATGTACATTTTATAATAATGACTGAAATGTAGCTGACATATCGGCTGATATAAACTCGACAGAGGAAAATATTCGTTGCATAATGTTTCTAATGCACTTGCCAAGCGGCGCTAAGATAACAAAATAATGACGATAATTGCAATACTGCGCAGTAGAATAATATTGGCTTTATAAAGAGGGAGAACATTTACGTAAAAAGAAATTTTACGTAATGTTATAATACTACTCTATCATTTGAGTTAGTCAATGGATGATCAGTGTTGGAGTTAGGAAACAGTCAAGCTTTTCGAAGCTCAACCTGTTGCTCCTGTATGTTGTTGTCTCTACTGACATAGATTTATTTTCTATTGTTAGAGTATAGTTTAAACAACATTCTCAAATAAAATCCATGCATAAATATTTAAAGAAAATTTTCTATTCATATAACAAAATTCATTTGTTCATAAGAAAATTTTTTTATATATGAAGAAATGCGGACTATACCGTTTCACTATCTTGTAAGTGTCCCTACTTGAATCTTACTGGTATACACTGTGATATAAGAAAAGATAATTCAGTAAGTTCCAAATAACTGACGATGTTCATATACTAAAAATCACGACCAGATGTGCGGATATAAAGAAAAGTTCGCTTCGTGACTTTATACTCTTTGGCTTCGACGAAGGTACAAGGCTGGCTTCCAAAATGGGTATCTTACCTAAACTTTGAATACTCGATTGCAGAGTTCCCGACATCCTAATTAATTTCTAAGGTATCCTAAAGTTATCCAAAAGAAAACCGAACGATTAATCTTATATGTAACAATTTTTCTGTACAATGGAGTATCATATTAATATCTATATTTTTTTTTGTACAATTTTGTTGCGATGTTATTTAATTACATCTCAAAACTCATTATCAATATTTTTACTCTTTTGATTTATCCCTTTATCATTAATTTCGCTCTTGTTAGATGATCTCATAACAGTGTAGAGATTTCTTTCATGATTCGAATATTATATGAGTACCATTAAATGGTTCGTTATAACATGTTACACATCGTTAAGATATACACGCGATCGCTGATACGGTTGTAATACAAAATGATTTAGAAAACGTATATATCAATGAATGCAATGAGTAAGAGGATCATTAATCGTGACAAATCCTCGCGCATTATTTAGCAAAAGTTTCATACTTCCAATAGGAATTCCAACTTTTACCGATCATTATGCAATCATATAGAGAATTCTAAACACGACCTTTTCGGGTCACGATAACGAAGCGATAGATTATTTACATTCTCGATATACACATATACACTACTCCATTCTCATGGTTATTTTTTCTTCGACTCCATATGACACGTGATACTTGATGAATTTATTGCGCAAAACTAAGTATGTTCCTAAAATATTATCGAGATCAACAGGTATATATGCGAGTGTATTTAATAGATCTACTACATCTTGTACTAATAAAGATCAACTTTTGTCGTGCAGTAATCTTATAAATTAACATTACACTATTACTCTCCCGTCGTGACATTATCATTTATTCTCGAGCATTGATACGGCCTTTATCTCGTTCTTCGTCTATAATTAATTACCCTCTTATTGTCAGCATGCGTATTTCGTTGTTTTGTTACGTATATGCGTATGTGTGTGTGTATATGTATACATCTTATTATATTAATTATATATATATATATATATATATATATATATATATATATACACACACGCTATTTATATATATCTCTCTTTTTTCTTTCCTTTTTTAGGATTGAAATAGAATATAAGATATGAAATAGAATAACGTGTGGACAGATAAGATCGATCGGAGAAAGAACGATTTATGAGACCGATAAGATATTAGGAAAACGAGATTTCGTTACTGCTGCATCGCTACGGTTTTGCTTTGGATATATTATTCCGGAGTTTGGAAGGAATAATAAGTTCTGATAGTGGTTATCGCAATGTCACGCTTTTTTTGTGAGTGAATTAATTCGACGGAATAAATTAACGATGAGATTGCGGAGGTGTATATATATATATATATACACACATATACATATATATATATACTACATATCTCTTGTCTAAACATAGAACTCAATATGATGATTTGAAAATAAACGTATCTATATAGCATCATTGTGAGTAAATGTAATTAGTAAATGCATCGAGCAAAAAAAAAGGAAAGGTTCGAATAATGTTAAATTCGATGGACGTTCGCCTTTCACCGAGGAACGTGCGCTGGTGGACCACAATGATGCGTCGTCGTGTAGTTAAGTTAATTAACGAATGGTACGCCGTAGGAATGAAGAGTACAGTTAAATTGATACGTCCTTCGTTCGTCGCCATTTTTGCATTACGTTTTGCCAACGTTCGAAATATGTTCTTTTTCCCTTTATTTTTCAAAAGAAATTCTATTAAACGTTTTTCGATGAGAATATATATGTATATATGAGAACTTTGAACTTTTATTTCGAAGAAAAACCTGATAAAGAACACCATGGTATCGATGTTTTATGTGTTTTCGATGTCTAATTCGTTATAGTATTTTCGTATTTGCTTAGTTATGAAGTATGTTCTAGATTTTTTATACAACATATAAGATGTTATCTCAAACATTCGTTGATAGAAACGATTTTATATAGATTCTATGTTGTTTTTGTAAAGAAAGGATTTGTGTTTTTAAATATATAACATCGAAATTCTTACTTGATTCAAGTCGAGATTGGGACACTTTGAGGAGCATTCCTCTTGGAGGCTTGCGGGAACGTTCCAATCTTCGGCATTGTCCGCCAGGAGCGTCGCAACGCTTCCGGCAAACGCCAGCAGCTTCATTAAAGTCCATAGTCCTCTTCCTAACATAATATATATATAGAGCCTGGAAAAATGCGCGCCAGTACGATCAAACTCTTACTCCTCGACTCTTCATCTTTGTCAGAAATTTTTGCGATTCACGCGCGCCAAACGATGAGCCATTCGGTTGATCCATTAAAATTCTTCCGAAAACAAAATCCTTCGGATGTCAACCGATTGTCGAAGAAACATTTGTAACACTATGATATATTCTTTTTGGATTTTCATCACCGATCATTCGAGACGAATCTTAATGTTTATAAATTTCACGGGCTGTCAGTTCGAATGAATTCATTTGTTGTATCTTCTCTAGACACCCTATCCCCTCCTTAAATGTTTTTGAATGAAATTACAATCGGCACCGCGTAGATACAATTTCTACTATCCTTCTTCAATGAGAGCCAGTTTACAAGATGAATGAAGATATTAATGTCTAAATATAAATCATTGTTCACTGTAACATTCGAATAGTCTCATTCTCCGTTTCACTTTATATCAAGAACACCAGAATTCAGGATTTGATTTGTTTTTTAAAAACTTTTGTCACGAACGTTGACGAATAGTATGAATTAAATGATTGTCAAATCTACTGACGAATGATAAAAATATGATGTAGAATGATGTTTACAAGCGGATGAATGATTAAAAAGAGAAAGACATAGAGAGGTAGAAGGACAGAGAGAGAGAGAGAGAGAGAGAGAGAAAGAGAAAGAGAGAGAGAGAGAGAGGGAGGGAGGGAGGAAGATAGAAAGAGAGAGCAGAAAGAGTTGGGCTAGAGATCGGGTCGCGTTTGTAGGACCTGACCGAGCGTTAATGCTCGGCGAGCATAAGAGCAACTGACTCCGAGTGGCCACTAGAGGAGCCAACGCTATCCCCCACTACCAGAACCTTTCCTGGATGCTTATCCATGGCGCTTCGCTTGACCGATTCCGTTTAGCGATGGTAGCTCCTAAATAGCAGATAGTAAGCTTTGCGATGGTGGTGGTGGTTACTCCGTTAGTTGTAACGTACGCGATGTACTTGTGCCTCAGCTTGTTTACTTGCGTGAGTGCACGCGCTGCTACAGTGAGATGAGCACGGCCAGAGTACCGAAGGATCTCGATGGATCTTTGTCCATCGAACGGCCTATTGCGATCTCTGTCTAACTCGATGGACTAAATTACGACATCTTCCTTCCTTTAGTGATCGTTCGCTTTATTACCATTAAGTTTTTATTTATTTCTTTTTATCTTATCTTCTTTATTCTCTCTTTCTTTTTTATATTTTGCAACATATATATATACATGTATATGTATATATATATATATTTTTTTTATATTACATATATTAATATATATTTATTTTCTATATCAAATAATTGATATTTTTATACCAATCTATATATGTATTGTGATAATTTGTTGAAATATTTTATTTTAAAATTGAGACAAACATTTGTTTGATATTAACATTTGTTATTAAGATAGAAATTATATGTCTTCCGACTTCACGACATTTATATTATTTTGATGAGAATAATTTACTTATGACTTAATCCGTATGTTTATACTTTCTGATGGTTAACAAAGTAACAAGTATTCTTTTTCATAAGATTGTATCTATTAAGATGAAGAGTTTGTTCCATTGTATCGACTATCCTTGGCCTCCGAGGCACAACTTCGGTCCTTTGGCCTCAATGACCCTAAAGAAATCTATTATCTACCCCAAAGGAATGTATATAGTTCTTTTGAGAATGATGCATATCTATTAACTGGAAAGAAGACCGGTTGACTGGTACGGACGGAATGCTTCTCTTTTTTTTATCTATTGTATATATCCATGTTGAAAATGAAACAAAAAAGAAAAGAGAAAGGGACAGAAAAAAAAAGGTTGGACAATATGACTTCATAATACTTATTTCTATTCATCTGAATCAATGTAGGAAATATATTTACCTTCTCTCAATCAATTTCAAAATCTTATGCGTCAATGCACATATTAAAAATTGATGACACAATTCTATTAGTCTCTTGCTAAATTGTATTAATTAAATATTTCTCAATTACTTTAAATACTCATATCGATGTTCCTTCAATTCCAAATATTATTAACTTCTTAATATCTATACATATATCGTAGTCAATTGTTGAATGAAGTTAGCCAAAATTTTATCATACATTATGTATTTACGCGTTGTGTGCGAAAAGAAAGTCCATTCAACTATTCGCAACTAATCTGATAATTTTTTTTATCAGATTTCACTCCTATTGGAGAACACCGTTGCGGATAAAGTAAATTTATACGAAAAAGATATAGTTGTCCCATAGTTTAAAAATAATTAAAGTATCATCACTTTAAAAAATGATCTCTTCCCGTTCGAATACGTCAACTGCCATGAATATTATGTTGATCGGGACAACGGCCGTTTATCTCGGTGAACGTGATCGGTTAGTAATACGTTGCCCGTTAGATTGATTCTCTCTACATTTTATTCTCTTTTCTTCTTTCGATTCGCGTGAATTACTGATCGCTTGTGCATATGTCAGTCTATCGTACGGATAGGAAAATATAATGGTCTTTGGTGTTTGTTATTATGTAGCTTTTCTTATGAAATGATATCGTGTACGATCTGAAAAACTTCGAATGTATTAAAAGTTTCTATTCAAAGTATATATATATATATATATATATATATATATATATATATATATTAAAAATATATATTAAATAACAATGATAATAAAGTTAGACTAATTCAAGAAGATATTCAACGACTAGCAGTTCGCAAGAGTTACATTTTCTAGTGGAAGTTTAGCCTGATGGATTAACGAAGACAGTTACAGATGGCACGTTACGGCTCAATGAAGGCATAAAATTCATACTGGCAAAGATCAGATCTCGTGTTTGTTTTTTCTTTATAAACAGTTAGATGGTAAAAGTTACTAAATTGAACATTTACTTGGGAATATATAATGAAATATTTTTCTTTATATGTTAACATTAAAAATAGAAAGGGGGATGTAAATATAAAAGATATATGCTCGTTTATAGATAAACTTGCTACATAAAACTTCGTATAACAGCCGTGCAGAAAGAAAATAAGCCTCCATTCACGTGCTTGAAAATGATACAATCCATAGTGAATCTCGATTTTTATTGTAAAAAGAATCGCCTAATGATCAAATAACCAACGCAACTCAGACGATAGGATTTGATATGAAAAATCAAGGATTCTAAAGCGTGTGAAAGGACAAATTTAAGGGGAGTCTATTATGTACTGTAGATTTACTTTATACATCTAATTGTTAGTGATCCAAATAGGATCAGTAGATTGTATCGCCTTGAGATAAAGGATAAGGGATTAGGTTTATGTTAGATAATGAATGAAAATGTAAATGTATACAAATATCTGAAAGGAAGATTGTTAAGTATCGATTGAAACTCATTGAAAAGTATTATCGTTGTGGTATTAGCGATCGCTGAAATGGCAGCGATCGCTAATACGTTCAGTTTCAACCTCAACGGCTGTTACAGGTTACCTAGAGCTTCCTGCGGAAATGGCCAATATACTCCTCCGACCTCCAACTCACTCTGCAGTTGCTCTCTCATTCATTCGCTGGCTCGCTCTCTTGCTCGCGCGGACCACTCCTGTTTTCCCTTGTTCCCTCCCTGTGTATCTCATACCCGTATCATCACCCTATGCTCGGACATGCACGCGTACCGACCATTAGCATGAGTTATATGCTTATAGCGACCGTTATGGTCAACGTTATCACTTAAAAGAAACTGTGTTTTGTTAAGTTTTTGGATCCAAATTTTTTAAATATTTTTTTCAAGAAGATTAATTATGTCATTCTATTCATATAAAATTATTATGCCAATAGTAATATTTCATGAATTCATATTTAATTTACATTTTTATAAAAATTCATTTAACGATTAAATTTTTAAAGTTGAAGTAGGATTTAGAATGTTTTTCATAAGATCGGTATATTTTTTAAATTATCGTAAGAATTATTGAATAAATTTTAGAAAAATTTAGAATCATTCCATAACTATTTTCCTTTTCAAAAGTAGAATCCTTATACGACATTATCGACAGATTAACTGTTGATAATTTACCGATTGTTCCCCTTTCTTCTATTCGATATACTGAATATTCGATTATATTAGATTCTGTCGATAATGCAGATTCTTATTGATTAATGATAAAATTGGGATATCAATTGACATAATACAAAATAATATCGTTTCCAGTAAGTATAAATAAGAACATATCAAAGTTGATAGGAATTAAATTAATACTTGAATTTGATTAACATATATTTCAATTTTAATTTAAAGGATTTGATACATACATCACGATTAATGTTAGTTAATAAATGTAAGCAATAATTTGTTTAAAATTGCCAAAATGTTTACAACACGAATTAATATAAAGTTCTTATTATCAGAAATATTGCACTTTAAGAAATCCAATTATTTTTATACAATCTCCGATTGGATTGTTGTACTTTTAAATAACTATTACAACTAAATTTAAAAGCACTTTTTTAGTATGCTAATAGCATATATGACATAGTTTCTTATTCATTTCTATTAATTTTAACATAACAAATGTAATCTGATATATGTTCAACTACATAGTCAATACGTTATAATTAGAAAACTGTTGAAAGATTTCATCTTTCTTTTATAGCTTATATTTTTAATGCTTCTTGAAACTGCTTTCTAGCTTCACGATTTGATTGTAGCAACTCCATAAGTCCAGCCTGGATGCTGCGATTTTTTTTCTCAAGACAATCCAGAACGGAATGCAATTGATCTAACTTTTCATTAATATCTGCATATTCTAGAAATATACATGATAACGTTAAAAATATATTGTATTATTAATTCTATCTATTCAATGTATTTTATTATGTATTTCGTGTTTATAAACTTGTTATATTTACCAGCTTCATTGGAATTCCAATAAACAGAGTTGTCCCATTCCTCCTTATCGTTATCATCATTATTTTCCAATGGTTGAACTGAGTTCTGCATTATACCTTCTTTCATTATTTGTGTCACACGATCAGCTGACACATATAAGGTGTGGGATGTCTTGTTAGTACAAATCCTTGATATATCAGAAAATTGGATATTATGAGAAAGTTAGGAACAAATTAGAGTTGTTAGTAACTATCTGCAAAATTATTGAGCACTTATTGGTTCACTATAGATTTTTTTTATTCTTATGTTATTCATAGAAACTCTGCATAGTCTTAATTTAGTATTATTACGCTAGTGATTTATTAGTTTTAAGTTTATTCACCAGAGAGCGCATCAAACGCGATAGATTTCTCTCGTTCAGGCAGTTTAAGTTGCCTTCTTTTTCGTATGTGTTCTTGGTTTTCTGATTTATATTTATAACAGTGTACTATTTTCGAAAATAATTTGAAAATCACATTGTTTGTTAAATTGTTTTTGTTTTCAAGATCAATTGATAATCATTCAAATGACATCACAGAAGATGTCACAGAATAAAATAATAACAATTGGTACGCATGACGGTACGTTCCATTGTGATGAAGCTCTTGCAATTTTTATGTTGAAACTTTTACCTAGGTATAAAGATGGAATTATCGTAAGGTAAATATTTTAAAACTATAGTACGAAAACAATTTTTTACAGTTTGTTTATATTTTTAGATCACGTGATCCTGATGTTTTAAATAGTTGTGATATTGTTGTAGACGTTGGTGGAAAATATGATCCTTCTACTCATCGATATGATCATCATATGAGGTTAAATTTTTTTATCATACGTTACAAAATGAAATGAAATAATTCCATTAATTATTTCTGACTTCGTTGTAGTGATTTTAATGAGTCATTAAGTACAATTATACATGAAGATGGATGCAACAGTAAAATTAAGTTAAGCAGCGCAGGATTAATTTATTGCCATTTTGGTCATGAAATAATTAAACAATTGGCTCCTGTAAATACAAGCGATGATATTATCAAAATAATATTCAATTCAGTATATTACAAGTTAATACAAGAAATTGATGCAATAGATAATGGAATACCAATGTTCAATCAAGAACCTGTGTAAGTAAAAAATTTTTTTTTTTTTAAATATTTCTATGTATATTCATTTAATTTAGTTTTACTGTAATATATGTGTATATTTATTTTGTAGTTATAAAATATTAACAGGATTATCTTCGAGAGTAGACAGATTAAATCCTTCTTGGAATGATGAAAAAACAAATGATAATATACAATTTTTAAAAGCTATTGATTTAGTTGGAGAAGAATTTAATTATGCTGTACATAACTGTATAAATGTATGGTTGCCTGCAAGATACATTGTAGAGAATGCTGTTGCAAATAGATTTCAGGTATGTTAAATGTAAAACAAAAAGATCTTTTTTAATGCATGTAAAACTCTTGTGATTATGTTTTGTTACTGCCTTATAAGAAATCTTTTACAAAAGTTTTCAATTCCATAGATCGATAAAAGTGGAGAAATCATAGAACTAGAAAAGTTTGCACCATGGCAGCAACATTTAGCGGAGATAGAAAAGGAGAAAAATATAAAACCTCTTATAAAATATGTAATCTTTAAGGATGTAAAAACAGAATATAGAGTTAGAGCAATTCCTGTAAAACCATCAAGTTTTATATGCAGGTATTTCTTCTACTTCTTTAAAACTTATATCTCATTATACGAATACATTGGATTAACTTGTAATATATTTTTTTAATATGCAGGATGTTTTTGCCAGAAAAATGGGCAGGTTTAAGAACAAAAGACCTTGAAGCAGTCAATGGAATTAGTGGTAGCATATTTGTACATTCAGTTCGTTTCATTGGAGGTCATAAAACTAGGGAAGGTGCATTAGAGATGGCAAGAAAAGCTCTAGAAATAGGAAAAAATGAACAAATTAAGTCAAAAAAAAAAAAATAAACAAATAAATTCATATTTTACAAATTGCTGATTTAAGTATTATAAATAAATTATTTTATGAAAATGAATTGGAATAAATTAATAAGACCGAAAATTATTCAGAAAATAGTATAGCGATTTTAAAATGTCAGCCATTAGAAGTTCGAAGTGAAGATTTCTATTCATGAGACGATCATCTTCTCCAAATTAAAGCTATAAATTGACAGAATTTCTAAGGAATGAGATTTTTACAATTAATATTATAAAAGTAAAAAGTGATATTTATTTTACAATTAAGTAAAAAGTAATAGAAATATATATAATAATACAGGAAAATAAAATATAATTAGTAATGGTGATCGTATTGTAAATGTGATTGAATACATAATAATTTATATTGTTGTTCGATTGTCTTCACTGTTCTTAGTTATCCTGCTCGTTTTCAAATATTACGATTCAGATGACAAATTTTACATTTTTAAATAGAACAGTAATGTTGTGATATGGCAATGTAACAACGTTGAAGTATCGTAGTAACGTTTGCAAAAATTAGGAACCACACGGCATGAATTATTTGACACAGCATTTGCCGACAAATTTTTCAGAAGTAACAATAAAAAATGCTTTAATTAACTCTGAGTTAATTCTAGTTAGAATAATTTCTCTTAATATTAATTATTTTGTAAAAGCTATATTTGTACGTTAACGATCTTAGCCAATTATATTTTAACATAATGAATTGTAGTATATTTTTTTTAATTAAGTTTGACTTTACACGTTTAATACTTAATAAAAAATTATGTACTTCAGATCTATTTATTGTATTTGATCATATCAAATTATATTATATTTGATTTATTGTATGTATTTGATTACATATGCGGATATGTATTTGCATATTGTTTTTTTTTAAATATTATTAGATTTGTCGTATTTTTAATATTTTTAATTTCATCAATCTTGTTATAAAGATTTACGATTATATTTCATAATATTTTGCAAATAGTACGAATGTCATAAAATGAAAATATATGTTGAAAGAAATGATCATGTGTGTGATAATGATGAAGAAAAGTATATATATGTACATTGTGCACGGAATTATAAATAATATAATTAAAAAATAAATACACGTGTATTTACATATACGTATTTAAATATATATGTACGTTTACAAAGTAATTAGACATTCTGTGAACAGACAGTTCTCTTTGTTCTGTTTACTAGGAACGAGCGATGAAGCGCGATAAAGAGCCGTAGGGAGAAATGGTAGGAATATACAGGAGGTCCAGAATCCTGGTCCCTCAAAGCTAATATAATTACTGCGCATAGGCACCGACGAGCAAACGGCTTGCGGACACAATCAGGACAATCAGCATGATTGGCGGTCTTGAACGTACATACAAGCAGCTTCCGAGATTCGAAAGCTCTTGGACAATGAACCATGTTGTATCATCATTGTTCTTTTGTATTTCTTTACGCAATTTAAATTTTGGAAAGAGATTGTACATATTTTTTATGATAATTATTCAAAAAAAAAAAAGAAAAAAGAAAAAAAGAAGAATAAATGCGATTCAATTGTTAACATAAATGGAGGAAACTCGATATTAAAAGTTATTATTTATTGCTAGATGTTTTATGTGAAATACGTATAACAATATGATTTATATAAAAAATTTTGGATAACTAAGTTGATAGAACATAATCACAATTTTATGAATCTTATTAAAAAAATCACATATGCATGTATTTTAATTGATAAGGATAAAGAGAGAGAAAGAGAGATTGAGAGAGAGAGAGAGGCAGATAGATATTTCTTTTTTAATTTAATGAATCTGAGAGAATCTAGTTTTTTTAGTAAATCTGGATTCGATAGGAAAAATGAAGAACAAAATGATGATCGACTCTATTGACTCTACATTCTTTGTAGAAGATCCGATCCTCCTCGTTGAGCAACGCACTTGTCCGTGTATTTCTCAAAGGTATACCTGGAATCTCGTTCGACAGTAATTCCAAGTCTGTTTATGTAGCATATTTGCACCAATCGATCCGTTCGCGACGTGGCCACCTAATCGAGAGACCCGCTTAATGGGTTTCACGATACAAGGGAATAATTTCCTTAGATGGGAAATCGACCTGACACGATCGATGCTATTTGCCACCTGCGTTTGATTAACATCGATGGTGAATACATTGTTCAAATTGACGCGATTCCTGGTCATTAATGTATATATATTTATATGTATTATTTATATATATATATATATATATATATATATATATATATAAAACAATAACTATTGTTAATCTTTTTTGTCTGTTTTATTTCGATCGAATTCGCTTCGTAATTCATCTTGTTTTCGTTCGTCTATCGATCGTTGAATTTGTCGAGACCGAATCCCTTTTCGTCTAGCGATTATCTATCGTGTTATGACTATCACTGTCATATCGTGTCAGTGATACTACACGAAAACGAAATGCTAGCGGCGTTCGATGAGACGTTTAATTAACGTGGATGAGTTGAAACACAAGAGTAGGCTTTGTTTTAATAGATTTGATGATAGACGCCTACGGTTAATGTAATTTCGTTATCCATCGTGACGTTTGATGTGGTTCAACAAAAGTGGTTTTGTATTACATGACGTATGGGTATCTGTAACAAATAAGTCGAACGTGTCTCGCGATGTGCAAATATTTTTAATGGAAATATATGAGGAATTTTTTTTGTTCTGCTATTATCCAAAATCGTTGAATTTTTTTTCTCGATGTTTATAACTTCATCGTTATTTACAGAATATCTGGACGAAGGTGTTTTTTTTTTTTTTGGATGAGGAACGAATGAGGGAGAGAAGAGAGATAAAAATTCACCTATTGCTGGTTAATCAATTTTCACAATCGACGTTGCAAAGCGAAACACGAGAATCATCGGAATTTCCGGACCATGCGAGCGTACACGATCGCGCATTTGGCGTGCCACGCGTGATAATGCACGCGCGTAATAATAAAATCATCAGCCGCGTGTTTCATCGATCGGTTCTACGTACGCGTATTTTCGAGTATCCTCCGAGAATTCGAGATACCATTTCGTAATCGTTTGCATATCGAGATTGTGCGATTTAAAACGTGAAAGTCGCAACGAGTCCGGTTAATTAGTGACATTTTTTTCATTTGTCAAATCTTTCGGAAGATTTTCTTTTTTCTTTTTTTTTTTTCCATTAGAAATCTTCAACTTTTAAATT